GTCGGGCCACGGGCCGGGCCGCCCGTGGCCATGTCTACTAGGGCGTTGCCCCCACCCCACCTACACCCAACCAATTTATTAATATGAAAAATCTATACATAATTGAGAGCTAATTTTTGGGATAGTTAGATAGGTGTAGATCTTATCTTTTAGATGAGATAGTCAGATGGAAGTTCGTTAAAAAATATACTATATACATATTATATAATAGATATGAATATATATCATTTATTAAATAGAAAATTTTCCTTGCCTATATTCATTATCTCATATGTCAATTTTTGGTGGTTTGTACTTTGTAGTAATTTTTTGTAAATTTTGATTTTATCCATTAGGATCTTTAAGGGTCTGATTGTAAATAATTAGTTTGGATATAATTGGATAGAATGAGTTAATTTCATTTTTAAAAAAATGATTGAGCTTGGTTTGAGTGAGATTTGAGTGTATATTTAAATTGTATTTACAATATAATGATTAAAGTTGATTGATGTAAAAATATGAGAGAAACAATTAAAAGTGTCGAGTAGTTAAAATTAGGTGAATGAGTGGATGAATAGTGAATTACAACTAATGTAATGTGTGTATTAGAATTATTGATTGATATTATTTAGCTAATGAATAGTTAAAATTACATGAGTGAATGAATGAATAGTGAATTACAACTAATGTGATGTGTGATGATTATTGATTGGTATTATTTAAATAATAATATCAGGGAGATTTGAGATGAGTTAAATTTGAATTATATTTTGAATCAAAAAAGTTATCTGATCACCGAATATTTTATATCCAGTCAAGCCCTAATATTTTATATCCAGTCCTGCCACATGCTTTCCTCCTTATCTGTGCCCCACAGCTTTTCTTTGAAATGAATCTCTGATTCTCCTTCACAGATGGCAATGCTATCCACCAAGAACTGGTCAAAAGATATATACTGGGCACTGACAGTAATGAACCACTGTCCTACCCGGTGAGAGGGATCCTTCTCAAAGCAGTGCAGATGGGATGGAAGGTGGTCAGATGCAGCTTGGGATTCAAACCTCTGGTGTCTATTCTCAACAATAAGATAGATAATGGGGTTGGTTGTAATGCTATCCTATATGATATCTCTGTTTTGTTAGCTTCTTTTGATAGTTGTATTTTCTGCTAGGTTTTTGGGTCGGCCTCTTTTGGTGTAATTTTCTTTTGTTGGCCTTAGATGTTCTTGTGAGGGAAGCCTTGGATGTCCCTGTTGTTGTTAGCCATTAGTTGATGGCTCGCCCTGTAATTATCTTTGAGCTTAATATATATTGGTTTTTCGTTGGAAAAAAAAGCCCTAAAATTTTGATCAACATATACTACAAATACATTTAAAATGTTATCACTAAAAATATCCAGTCAAGCCCTAAAATTTTAAAACACTTGATCAACATATACTACAAATACATTTAAAATGTTATCACTGTTATAATTGTTATTGATTTATATATAATATACCAAATCAACTGTCTTTTACGATCACCAAAATGCGTGTTACATATGTACAAACAGGGCCGGCCCTGGGGTAGGGCGGGCTGGGCGACCGCCCAGGGCCCCCTCTTACCCCGGGGCCCATTTTTATATACTTTCTTTAATATATTTTTATATATATATTAATTATATAATAAAATATTAAATATAAAATTGATCTTAAATCAATTTTTTTCATTTCTTAACAAGAGTTTTTATATTTTCTCCACCTTATAAATTTAATAATAAAATTAAATAGTAGTTATTATTAGTCAAATTATTTTTTTATTTTTTTTTTGCATATTTTCTCTTATTTTTAATACTTTGTTAATTTTTTCTTCTTGTTTGAATATACAAAATATTATTTTATGATTGCATAATTCAATTATGTTATAGTGATAACCAATAAAAGAGTTAAAGTGAATTCGGACGAGTTTTAATTTTGATTTTTTATTTAACTTTGTTAAATATAAATTACAAATTAACACTTTTTAATAAAAAAAATCTATATTATTATAATTGAGTATTATGTATTTGACTAAACTTAAGTCATATATATGAAGTAAATGAAAGTTTGGAGCTTTGATTGCTTTTTTATTCTTTAAATAAAAAGGATTTTCTCTTTTTTTCATTTGCGATTCTTAAGAAATTTATCAAATATTATTTTTAAATTAGCTATATTTTTATTTTAAATTTCTCTACTTTTATTATTGCGAGTTTTTTTTTTTTTTATTAACTTAAAAAAATACAAACAATCAAGGGCAACATTTAGCACATTTCGCCCGGGGCCTTATAAAGTTTAGGACCGGTAATACAAAAATATAATGCTAATTATAACTGTATTGTTTAAGTAACAATAATTTGGGAAGTATTTATATAGACATTGGTAAACGGTTTCACAATCTTATGTCACATGATCGATGAGGATGACATTTTGAAAATATAATATTTTGTCCACGCAATGCAAGATGGCATATTAATAAGGCCACTCAAACAAAAATGAAAAATACCACAATCCCGTTAGCCTTTAAATATACATGTAAGTTAGTTATTGTAGATAATGCTAGTTAAAAATTTTCACGAAATCGTTCCGTAAGGAGCCTGCAATTTTTTCCTAAACAAGGAGCACAACACTTTAAAAATTCTCAATACAGTCACAAGCCAACCCAAAAGAGAGAAAAACTTTGAGCCCGCCATTCTATTATGTGCTATTACAAAGTTACTCACTTGGACACGAAACTTTTAATGATCTATAAAAATCTTATAAGAAAAACCAAATCTCTTAAACCGTTCCAGTTTTATTTCCACAAGTATCGAACCACCCTTTTCGAGTATCTGGCACATTTTTTAACATTCACAAAGAGTAGCACATGCATGAATGGAACTGTGTGCTTAGCTTATCACAAATTTGAGTGCCCAATTTGAACATGAACACGATGCCATGAGGTGTTTAGGATGCCCCTCAAGTTCCAAATCTGCTGCACAGTTTCAGGTTGGACATTTCCTGCTACATCCACCTGCCGAAAATAGAACACAAAGTTAACACAACAAAATTAAGCATAATAAAATGTTTCAGCAAAGTGGCTTCTAATTCAAGCTGCCTTTAGAAGAAATAGATAACTTTAAACTATAAATACCCTCGTAAGTATTACCAAAAACCACCTTGATGTTTGTATTTTCTAAACAAACACACCCTCCACTCAATGTGCGATTGATGAACCAGAAACAAGTATCATATGAATATTTGTAATTCTCAATGATTGCGTGAGCCTGAGCGACTGCACGTCTTTTTTTTTTCCTTTACATTTTCTTCTAGCACGGCAAAACATCAATGATATTGTTCTGAAATTCACCATATCAATTACTGCTATTTCATCTCATGGATCATCAAGTATGGCGGTTATGTATTAGTTAAAAATGTTAACTTACTGCTTTGACAACTATCTCAGTGCTGTTAGAGATTTCAGCTTGGGCCTCAAAAAGGACCCAAGCCCATTTATCACTACTTTCACCATCAGAAATATATGGGATGCCGGGCTTTTGTGATTTGGAGGCTTCCACCCATGTTTTGCCACCATCAATAGATATATCCACTCTTTCTATGCCTCGGCCACCTCCTGATGCGGCATAACCTTTGATGTTTATCTGATCACTTACAAAAAGTTAATTTTACAGAGATTTAATGCATCGGGCATAGAACTTAAATCAGGTGATCCTAGGATGGACAGCATATATAAAATGATCCGAATAACACAGAAGACGATATTAGAGTTTCAAGCAATATAGGCAACTAAACTAGTTAGATCACTGTGCCACTTCATGCTTGTGGTATTTAAGGGCGTGCTTTTTTACAAATTAATCCGCTCAAAATGAGTTTTTTTGGTTAACCAAGGTCAATTTTGAAAAATGTGGTATGGTTAGTTGACAGTGGGATTTTGAATTTATACTAAAATAAAATTTAAAATAAAATAATTAAAGTTGATTGATGTAAAGTATGAGAGAGATGATGTTTAGTGATCGTTCAGTTAAAATTATGTTAGTAGATGAATAGTGAATTAAAGTTGATGTGATGTGTAAGAATGATTTGTTTGTAATATTTAATTATATGAATAATATAAATGATAGTGGAGTTGAGTTAAAGTTAAGTTAAATTTTGAGTGTGAATTAATTGTGAATGAGCTATTTGGTAGACAATCATCCCCCAAGTCTCTAAGTGCACCAGTCGACAAACTCCTCTGGATTACACTCCTTTCTGCACTACTTAAATCTTGACTGAATTTTACTGTATATACCTATGAAGGTAATCAATGGCTTGCAGAATACACGAAATGCCTAGTTTATATATATGATTGAAGTGCACCGAGTACATGATACAGATACAGAGAGGCTTTACTGACCTTTCCAGGTTTCAACATGTTCACATCACTCAGGGAACAAATTGCAGACTGCAAGCAGCAAAAATTCAAGAGTCACTCCTCATTGTATCAAGCAACTTTTCGGAAGAACACACGCTTTATGAGTAGGTGGTTTATCTAAGGTTCAGATTATTGCATAGTCTTGCATAAGATGTTTTTCTTTTTTCTTTTGTCCATTTTTCTTTTTTTCTTAGGTTGTAGTACAGATAACTTGAGATCTGGAAAATCACATATCAACCATGAAATTGTAGTCAAATAAGCGAGGATATATTTAAACAGATTTAATCTAACTAGCATTACTAAATATCAGCTGACAGTGTCCATCTTCTCCTGATGAGGGATGTGTGCAAAATATTAATCCTGTAATCATTATTAAAATAAAATGGCACAAGATTCCACTTGACCAAGAGAAAGTCAGGTTTTAGAACCTGAACAGGAAAATCCATTTGAGGCCGCCTTGTAGACCAATCAATATTATCCCAATCCACAGAAGGTGGAAACATTTTGTAATCCTTTTGCATGAAGAATCCCTGCAGATCATCAGCATGAATTCACAAAGCTATCAAGGAACTTGGTGGGTAGCCTAAGCAATTGGATCACAGTTTTTTTTTACCTGGCACTCTTCTGCAATTATGTTGATTGAGTCAAGCCATTTCACAGATCGAGCACCAATAACACCAGGGACAATCGCACGCAGCGGATATCCATGATCCCTGTTTAGAGTCTGCACAGGAAAAAAATGAAATAACATTATAATAATAATAAAAAGTATCATGGTTTTTGGTTATCAGTGGGGCAATAAAAATTAACTTAAACCAAGTGTAGTTGTGGAGTACCTCTCCATTCATTTCATAAGCTAGCAAAACATCAGCCTCAGGGTTTGTGGCCTGAATTAATGGAATAGATGCTTTATAGGGGCCTCCATTCTCTTCCTGTACCAATAATGTCTCATGTCAAGCCAAATTTTCAACTTCAACAAATAAGAAAATATATATTACAGCACAAGGCACAGTTAGTTACCTTACATTTGTCGATGCTTACAAATTCCACATGTTTTCCTCCAGATGGCGTTACATGAGAGCATTTGGGGATTCCAATGAGTTCAAGAACATCTGCTAGTCTAGCTCCGCCCCAAACAGCTGTAGTGACATGCATGAAGATATGTTATCAAACTATTAACCTAGATCATTGAAGTAGTAACAGAACAAGTTACTCACACGTTACACAATTAAGTCCTAAAAAAAATTGGCATGGGAACAAAGTAATTAGTGTGGTAACTTATAACACAATTTGGCTTCCTATTCTACTATTTAGTCATATTAACAGTGGCATTGTACGACACAGTCGTAGGAACAAGAATAATATTGATTGGTCATATCCAAACTTAAGAAAACAAAGATCAAGGTACAGAGCTGTTCTGCAAAAATGTCGATATATATTCTCATCTAGTAACCAATAATTAATACGTAATGCTGCTGTGGCATATAAAGAACAGCATATATGAGAGTTTTTTTTTCTTTTTT